ACCCCAGTGACCACTCAGCCCACGGCTTCAGCCAGACTCCCTGATGGGTCCCAACCTTGACCACCTGCCTATGAAGATCTGATTCCAACCTGTTTTCCAGCCCTCAGGAAATAGGAAAGCATGTGTGTTCTCAATATGTCTGTAAAGTGCTTCTCCCATATCTTTTCCTTCCCAACAAGGAGAGGCATTCAGCAGGGAGAAATTCTTCCCCAGGGAGGGACTGGGGTTTGTCCCGGACAGTACCCTCTGGTATGATAAGAAGTGGAGCCCAGGGAGCTCCCAAGAGCACCAGGGAAGTGGGACCAGGAGGCTGGAGTGCTGTTGGCAAGAAGAAAATCGAGTGAGCAGGTGGGAACACACAAACAGAGGAAACCTGCAATGAAAAGAATCGACAGGACAGACCGGAGCGTGGGGACGAGACCAGGAAATAACTCCTTAGGATCTAAGCCATCCAAGCACTACACACAGAAGAAGTGGGGCAGGGCCAGTCTTGCCTACGTGGTGCTCTGACCACCATTTCCTGGCCGGGAAAAGGTGCCTCTGTGTCAGCAGGAAAGCCACTGGAGAGGTATGACTAATAGGAAGGGAAGCATGCTTTGTGAACTGTAAAATTCTATACATGTGTTTATGCACCGGTATTCTCCTCCAGAGCGTTTACCTTGGAAACTCTAACAAGTGGCCAGGCAGGTGAGGCACCGCAGCAAAGAAACAGGGAAGTCAACGCGGAATTAGAAAGAACTGTTGGCTGTGGTTGGGCCGGGGGCAGGGGAGAAAGGGTGGACATTGAGTCCTGGGACAAAATTCAGCTCAAACCCCCATAAGTTTTCTTCTTTGCTGGGGAGGAGAGGCGGAGGGAGAGGGAGAGAGAGAGAATCTCAGGCAGGCCCCATGCCCAGCGTGGAGCCCGACACGGGGCTTGATCTCACGTCCCCTGAGCAGAAGTCAGGAGTCAGACACCTAACCCACTGAGCCACCCAGGCGCCCTTCAAATCCCCGAAACTTTTCAGAACAGCCTGGGAGGGCATGAGCTGCCTCAGGTCTCATCCAGATCCCTAAGAGGCCTTGCCCACTTCTTCATGAAGGTCCCAGGCGAGTGAGCAAGTGGGGAGTACCTGTTTCATTCACTCTTTCATCCATTCAACCAGTGTTTATTCGACACCTATTATGTGCCAGGTCCTGTAATAAAAGGTGTGATTACAACTGTGGTAAATGCTATAAAGGAGATGTACATGGTGCCATCAGGGCTATAAGCAGGAAATACAAATATGAGATATAGAATCAGTTATATAAGGGCCTATACTCGGGACAACAGAACTAATCTGAAGTGTTGATAATTAAGCTGAGATCCAAAGGATGGGTGGTTATTAATTAGGCAAAGAGGGGAGTAAGAGTGACACAGGCATAAGGAACGGTCTGGTCTGTGCTAAGGCCCCCGTGGGACATGAGAATGGCATTAGCTTTTGTTGTATAACAAGTCACTCCAAAACATAGTGGCTTGAAACAACAACCACTTTTTTTTTTTTTAACCCACCGTTTAGTGGGTCAGAAATTTGGGTTGAGTTCAGCCAGGCAGTTCCAACAATTCAGGTCATATCATATTGCGGCTGATCTTGGCTAGGACTCACTCATGTGTCTGAGTCAGTTGCCAAGTCAGGGAAGAACTGAATGACCTTGCCTGGGGAGCTTCGGTTCTTCACTTTATGGTCTGCATTCCCCAGCAAGCTATGCTGGGCTTCCTTCACATGCAGCAAAAGGCTTCCACCAGGCACCCAAAAAGGACAGCCTCCAAAGGTGCGTTCCGTGTCTCCAGACCCACCACACTTGCTGTTGTCACATTGGCCAAAGCAAGGCACGGGGCTAAGCCCAGAGTCGGGTGTGAACAAATTAGGGGCTATAACCATAACAATCTACCTCAGTGTGTTCAAGGAATTGAAAGAAAGAGGAAGACAAGAGAGTGAAGAGTGAAGAGCCTGGTGTGGGTGAAGCTGGGAGTGGGGGAGCCAGACATGCAGGACCTCCAAAAGGAAAGGAGTCTTGGAGTCTAGGAGTTCGGTCCTGAAAGCAGACAAACCCTCTGTCATGTGTAGCTGATCACCATAAATAAATCCCGTGAAGACGGAACTGCCCTGGGTGAACTAGTAAAATGGACTTTCCAAGCTTGAGAAGCTGGAGACAGGATGTGGAGCACGGTCTACCCCTCTTCCTGCCTGCAGCCCCCACTGCTGTAAATGCCTCATGGCTTCTCACCTCCGTTCCTTGGCACCTGCTCCCCACTCAGCAGTAAACAATCTTCCCACACCCCGTGTAAGGCCAGAGCCCACCTCTCCAAGACTGGCTGCAGCTAGCACCACCTCAAAGCAGCCCTCCCTGACTTCTCTAAGCCCCCAAGACCAAAGATACATCAAAGGACACCGTGAGGCCTAGGGGAAAAGCCTGTGACTTATTAGAGTGGCCTTGTGGTCTCTAGGATCAAGTTTGTCTGGGGCCCAGTCCTGCCTGTGTGGCACACACCTGGGGGCACCGTGCTTCACCAATGCGGTAACCATCTTTAACCGCAGGGCCTGTACACAGAAGAGTCAGAAATACTTGAACGAGAGATCCGACCCCTCAACAGGACTTGCCTCTAAAGCCCCAGTCAATGTTATTAATGCCATCTGTCATGGCAGTTGAGGTGCCAGCCCCAGTGTCTCCCAGTTCCACCGCGAAGCCACCCGCCCAAGGGAGAGAAGCCTCCCAGCTCTAGGACAGTCTGAGGCAGGGCAGTGGGCAAGTAAAGAGAAGGGACCTCCCTGGGAGACAAGTACCACAGCACCATTTACTGTAACAGGGGAAGAACCCGACCTGCCGTGACGTCCATTGGAGGCCTTCCCCGGGTGCTAGGACAACTAGCCAGGAGCACTGAGGGAGCGATCACCTGAGCACTGATGCCAGGAAGCCAATTTATAGGTTGGCTCATTCACCACAGGCTGGAGAAGCAGAGCCGGTGAACCAGGGGCTGAGGGCGCCAGGCCCCGCCCACCAGTCCTGACCGACTTTTCGAAACTCTTCTTGAAGCGCGCGGGTGTAACTCACACTGACTCCCTTTTGCAGAGAGGAAATCTGAAGTCCAGGGAGATAAGCCTTTGACTCATGGGCCCCTTCAGAAGTCATGGCCCCCCAGGTAGCCGACTACATTTCCCAGCCTCCCTTGGGGTTACATGCGGCCCTGCTGACCAGGTTCCAGCCAATGAGAAGTGAGTGGAAGTGACCTCTCTAACTTTGGGGGTTTGCTCACAAATGGCAGAGCTGTGCCCTCCTTCCTTGTTCTTCCCCTTCCCGTTGCCTAGTGAACCGTCTTGGACAACACAGGGAAGAGCAAAACCTCAGAATAATGGAGCAGCAACAAGATGGAAAGAGCCTCGGCCCCTCATATCCGGGCACACAGTCCCGGGGCCACCGTATCGGCCCTGACCGGCTTAAGGCAGCACACCCTGTTAAGTTTGGAGGAAACAACATAGCCTGTCTTGATGAAGCTACTTTTATCCCAGCTAGCTGCTACGGCTGCTAAATCCATATCCTCCTGCCTCATAGTATATAGCCCCGGGAGTGTTTCCTCAGGAAGCCCAGGACCACTGGGACTGCTTGATCCCAGGGGCTCTCATTGTCCCAGGACAACAGAGCTGTGACCTCCACCCCAGGGACCAGCTCTTTTCTTGAAATAGCCAGGGAAGTTGCTCGCTTGGAGGAAGCTGCTAGACTGCCAAGGATGGGAAGGGAAACAGCACAGCTGGTATCCTGCCAGGGTAGATACCAATACACCTGCACTACTGGGTACAATGCTGAAATACTTCTGGGCCAGTTGACCAGCAGCCACTGCCCTGAGCCACCCCACCCCAGGAATGGCCCCCCTCCCGAGCCATCCAGGCCCCAGACTCAGCAATTAAAGGGGCAACACCTGGCAAAGGAAGGGGTCACCAGGACTTCATCCCGACCTCTGGACGTTGCGTCAGCAAGCCACACTGCGTGTTAAATATTTTGAACATCACCCCTGGCTATAAGGTGCCTGATCTCCACCACCTGAGTGCAAATGAACCACTGAACTCAGTGTTGACAGTGATAGGGTGACATGAGTTCTAAAAGCTAGAGACTGGCCACTGAATCACCACTTCCACCTCCTTCTCTCTTGTTCCCCAAACCAGAAACGCTTGGCTCCACCCAGGCCTGCCCTCGCCCCTTCAGAATGTCCTACCATCACGCCCAGATATTATTGCACTCTTTTATTTACAGAAAACACAGATAAAGCATTTCAATGTTCATTTAGCAAACTGATCCACTCTTTTTCTTTTTGGCACAAAGAAATATCACAGATGGACCCCAAGATCAATCAGAAACCCTTAAGATTTATCAGCCATCACTGGTCCAGGGGCAGCCACAAGACTCAGACAGGCAGACAGACAGCATTGCCACAGACTGGAAAAAATAAACAAGGTCCACATTCACCTCACAGTAAAAACCTGCTCACCGGCAGGCAAGGGCAGGCCGGGGTGGGCGTTGGGGAGGGGGAGTGGGGGGCAGATTCTCTGCTTCAAGGGGGGCAGTGGGCATTGGGCATTGGGGGCAGGAAGCAGGATGGGGGGGATTAGACACCATTCATAAATTAGAGGTGACCTTTTTGCTTTTAACCTCTTACCTTGTGGAAGTAAGACAGTGCAAAACTACCATACCCTGACCACTGGGCCACTGGAAATGCTGCCGAAGTTCCATGGTTTGGGGGTATCTCTCCTCGTGGGCGCCCGTGTGTGTGCATGTGTGTGTATGTGAATGTGTGAGTGTGGTGCTTGTAAACATTGTCACCATCCACGCAGAGACCCAAAAGCCGTGTGTCTGAATGGGGTGAGCTGGGGGCTCTACCCCGCTTCATGCCCCCTCCGCCCCAGTGATTCCTGTCCAAGACATAGTGCAAATTTCAGAGACAAAAAGAGGCCGAAGAAAGTGGAGGGGGGACGGGGCCTGTTGGGGGTGGGGAGGGGGAGGCAGGAAGGACACAGAGACCGGGCGGGAGAGAGAGGGGGAAATAAGGCAACAGTTAAAAAGGGTCCATTTTATCAAAACCGACGCCATGTGCCCCTCACCCCCACCCACGGAGCCCTCGTCACGAGAAAGGGCGGAAGTCCCGCTCCTCCACCAGACTGACGGAGGGGTTCTTGAGCTCCTCCTCCGACGTGGCCATCTTGTAGCCCAGCTGCGCCAGCACCCGCTGGCAAGCGTTCTGGGCGAAGGCCACAATGTCGTAGGAGAGGCGGAAGCGCCACTTCTCGGCCGTGGCCGCCGAGTTTCGCACGGTGCCGTATTTGTGCTTGCCCAAGGTGGGGTCACCCCGCGTGTTGTTCTGGATCCAGCGGGCCACATGGCTGTCCAGGGGGATCCCCAGGAAACCGTAGATCTCCTCGGTCTTCTTCATGGGGTTCCTGGCCAGGTCCTCGTAACGCACCAACATGTACTTGCCCTTGAGCCACGGGGGCCGCATGAGGCCGGTGGACACGGAGTTGGAGAAGTCCTCGCACACCGTGGTCAGCTGCGTCACATCCAGGTTGTAGGGCTTCCTCCCAGTGCCGTACCAGAGCCGCCAGAGGCGGTACGTGTCGCGGAACGTCTCGCTGCGGGAGGCCAGGATGCCACGCGGGTCTCGGACCAGCTGGATGACCTTGAGGTTTAACCGGGGGTCTTCAACCAGGGCCCGCAGGTCGTTAACCTCGGGCACCCGCACCGTCTTGATGGCCACGTGGCTGCGCTCGCGACAGGCCTCGGCGGCCACCGTCAAATTCAACAGACCACACTTGCGCACGCAGTCCCCCTCCTCCAGTACCAGTTCGGGGGAGCCCGGGGGGTCGCACACGGGGCGGGAGCACAGCACCCTGCTGGCCCCGCGGCGGAAGATCCTGTCGGTGGTGTGGTTGACGGGCGGCGGCTTGATGTAGTTCTCCAGGAAGTAGAGGTCACAGTCATAGAGGCTCCTCAGGAGGTCACGGCTGGCGCCCAGCATGACCCGCCGGTCCGCGGGGCTCTTGCCCTGGGTAAAGCGGGGGATGAGCGTGTTCTGGACGTGGTAGAGGGGCTCGAACAGGTAGAAGACGTCCAGGTGCTGGTTGAAGAGCTGGCCCACGAAGGAGGAGCCGCTGCGCGTGGTGGCCAGGATGAGGATGTGGGTCTTGCGGGAGGCGTTGTAGGCAAAGGTGGGGCCCTCCTCGCAAAGCCGCTCGGCCAGCCCCGCCTCCGCCAGCCCCGGGCAGGTGTGAAAGGACTTGGCGGTGAAGGTGCGGATGGCGGTGTACTGTATGGCGATGGAGGCCAGGGCAAGGAGGAGGACGGCCTTCCAGGAACATTGCATGGCTGGGCACCTTCATGGGGCTGCTTCTCCACCATGCGAGGTCTGCGGGCAAAGGTGGGCGGCCGTCAGGGAGCAGCCTGCGGCGGGGTGCATCACCGGGCCAGGGGCCCCAGCCGGCTCCCTTGGACGGGCTGGCCTCCAGGGGGTCCCCAGACCTCCGGGATTCCCTGCCCGATGCTCACACATGCGACTAAGGACCGAGGAGCTTCTCAGCTAGACTTTACATTCTCTGGGGACTCCTGGGAGCTTCCGGGGACCGAACAAATTGACTCCCCACATGCAGAGTTTAACAAATGCTGCAGGGGACTTCCATCATGAACCCGGAGTTCCTTAGTGGGGCCCCACTGTGCAAGAAGCTAACTTCCCCAGCTCACACACTCAGGGGCCCAGCAGTTCCTGCCTGGAGTCATTCTCCTGCCACTGCCTATCACCCCTGCCAGCACCTCTGGGGCCCATCTGCATCTTCCACTCCCACGAGCAGGCACCGGGTTCCCCACTGGGCATCTTTTCTCCATCCCCTGCCCACCCCAGGAGGAAAAAGAGCTCCTGTCAGATGCACACTATGAGGATCCATGCACTGGGCCACGAGAGGGGGACAACTTGTCAAGCCCACCACCCCAACTTAGGGGTGCAGGTGACCAGTTACCCAGATGAGGACTTCTGGGACCCCCACGGTCAACGAGAGTCAACTGGCCCAGAGCAGAGAAAGGTCCAGGGGCTGCTGAAAAGCATCCTTTCCCAGGCCCCAGGCACCCTCCAGGTTTGCTCCTGGCCACTGGGGCAAGGGGCAGGCGTCGGGCAAGGGGCAGGCGTGGGGCAGATGACCCCCACTGACAGCAGAGTGAACTGGCTCCTGGGGGGGGGGGGAACGGGCCCACCCCAGCTAGTCCTCAAGGGCCTCCACCGTTCAGCTCTCAGCTCTCTGCCCACAGAGCAGAATCTGCCACATGTGACCCAGCAATGGCCCCAGAGAACCAGGCAGGATGGACAGAAGATGAGGGGGTGGAGCAGAAGGGGCATCTCAAGGAATGGAGAAAGCAAAGGTAGGGGCAGGGCAGGAGGGCAGGGCAGGACACCAGGGAAGGTCCAGAGCAAGGTGCCAGCCTGAGCATCTGGAAGTCGCCCCCAAGAGAGGCTGGCTCAGCTCCCGGGCCCTGGAGGAGGGCTGGGGCTGCTCCCAGAGCAAAGGCAGGAAGGGCTCTACCACTCACCAAAGAGGGGCTGCTCCGAGCTGGGGAGTCCACAGCTGCCAGGTCTCCTGGCCTAGCCGGCAGTCCCAGCCTATGCAGAGGCCCTGTGAGCAATAGACTGTAGAGAGAGAGACAGGGGAAGCGTTCTGGGGGGAGGGGGGAGGTCGATGTGTCAACATCGCCCTTCCCACCCCTTCCCTCCTATGTCCTGTGTCCTCACAGACTGCCCCCCCCCCCCAGGGCCGGCTGACAAGGGCCCTGGTTGCTCTCCCAGACCTATCACTGATTCAGAGCTCCAGCTATCCCAGGGCCACCTTTTATCCCCTGGGATCTGGCCCCCTGACTCCTGAGCCCTCCACCCACCTCCCCCACCCCCTACCCATCCCTTCCTGGCAAGTCCGAGTCCCTCACACCAGGACCCAGTGGCAGGGAGCTGGCAAGCCTGCACCCCCAGCTGACCAAGAGTTGGTACCCCACACAGGCAACCACCCCGGGGAGGACCCCCCACCCCACCATCCAAGGGAGTTGCAAAGAAACCTACTGGCCACAAATACCTTGAGGCCTCCCTAGCTCGGTTCAGCTCTGGTGACCAGACTGACCCAACCAGACACAGTGCTCAGCACCCAACTGTGGAACGGTATCAGAGTCAAAGTTATTCCAGAAAACTAGGCCAGAGCACAGCCCCGACTGGCTCTGCATTTCAAATCAACAGAGCAGCCTGACCTTTCAAAATTTGACTTTTTCAGTGACTCCCCAAGAGGGGTTCGGTGGAAGTCAACAAGGCAGGGGGGCTCACCCCAGACCTCCAGGTGGAAATGGCAGCTCCGTCTAGATAGCCCAGACACCGAGGCCCACTCGGAAGGGACAGCTGGGGCGGGAGGCTCTTCTTCCAACCACACCAGAGAGGAGAACGGCTACCTAAAACTCAAAGCAAAAGTGGACCAGGGAGCGTTCCTGACTTCGATGCTGTCCGCGGATTCTAAGTTAAAACACCAAGACTAGCATTTTTTCAGTTAGCATCCATCGAGTACTGCCTAAGCCCTTTACCTGCATTCGCTCATTTATTCCTCACAGGAGCTTCATGTGGAAGCCAGGATTAGCTCCATTTCACAGGCAAGGAAGCTGAGGCACAGAGAGTGGGGTGACCTGCCTGAGCTCACATGCTTCGTTTAACGCACATCTCACAGGTTCCCCAGAGCCCACGCTCTTTCCCTCTGAGGAGATTTGACCTTGTTCCTCCAGCTTACATGCACTTGGCCTTCAAACATGCATTCAATTATGTCCCGGGCCCATGTGTAAATCGGCAAGAGAGAGACCGGGTATTACAAGGGTACAGACGATCTGTAATGTAACACTTACAGATCCTTCCCTTTGCCGTCTGGCCTTGTTGATCACGGTCTTGTTGATCAAGGCTCATGGCTGAGGGGATAAACTTGTGCTTTGTGAATATTCTTCCCACATCCCGCTATTTGGCGTGACTCCTTTGGGGGAGCGGTTCGTGGATCCTCACTTCCCAAACCCGCTGTGCTGCCTAGCTCAGCCAACTCCGAACACCACGCTATTCCTTACAGCCTCCTCTGGGAGGTCAGGGTCCTCACTCCCATTTTTTAGATGGAGAAATTGGGGCTCACAGACTAAGCAAATGTGCAGAAGCAAATAAGGAATAGCAGAGACTCGAATCCCTCTATGTCAGGCTCTTAGGCCAGTGCTCTGGCCCCTTTACCATCAGCTTAGCGAAGAAAAAACAGAGCTGAAGCAGTCTGGTTGCCTCTGGGAGGGGCTCAGAGCTTGAGCTGAGATGACAGTGAGCCAGCTGAGGCTCTGGATCCTAGGAGTCCTATTTTAAGTCTGAAACTCCACTCAGTACCTATAGGGAAGAGTACCATGTCACCAGGTGGCAGTAAATATGGGAAGGCCACAGTCTAGACTCTTGGTAACCTCCAGTGTGATCAGAGAAAACCACAGCCCTGACCACACCCCATCCCACCCCTACCTCACCCCAGGGCCACAGAGAATGCTGACTTCATCAAAAGGCTTCAATGAGGTGCCCAGAGAAAACTGCCTCTCTGCCTTAAGTTAGATTCTCCTGCAAAATGCGGGCTCACCCTGCCTAAGTGCCCCAAGACAAATGCCCCTAAAGACAGGTAGGGAATACCATGAATACTAGTGTAGGTAATATTTTAAAGTTATTTAAGTAAGGGTCTACAGTTGCAACGCCCTAATGCACATCATTAGGATGGACTCTTTTTGTATTTATTCGTAAAGATCTGTCAGGTATCGAGCATGACCCAGGCACTGTTCTAGGAATTATGGCGGGGGAGGGGGGAAACATGAAGGAACAAACACTTACTGGGCATTCATGATGTTTATCCCAGGGGGGATCACAGATTAGGGTACAAGGTGGAGTGAAAAACACCTCTCGCCCTCACACTAACCCTGTGTGGTTGATGTTGTCATATCCCCATTTTACAGATAAGGAAGCTGAGGCTCTGCAAGGTTAGATGAATCTCCCCAGCTCACGCTCCTCGTGAGGGGTACAGCCAGGATTCCAGCCCAGGCAATGTGCTCTGGAGCCCATGCTTGAACCCTCCTCCTTGACCCATTACATTTAATTCCCTTTGGTCTCCACCAAGACGGGAAACAGAAGGCTGAAAGAGATTTCACTTAACTCAAAGATTCTGGTACCAAAAGGAGAATTCACCCATCCAGGGGAGCATTTAAGTTTCTCTCCCTGCCACCTCTCCCCACCCCAACCCAGAGAAACTTTTAAGGCCAGGATTCGAAACTGCTGCCTTGGCTAATAAATCAGGAGTAACTGAAGGATCTCGATGGTATAAATCCCTAAGAAAGTGGGACTCGGGTTCACAAGGTACAGTCTGAGCATCCACGAGGGGACTGTGTTCAAAGGCCCAGCCAAGGCCATCCCCCTGCCTCCCAGGAGGGCAAAGCGAGGGCATGGGAACAGGAAGATGAAGAAAGTCAGACCCTCCTAGAAATGCACCCCCTCTCCTGCCAACCTGGCAGAGCTGGGCTCAGGACTGGCCAAGCTTCCTTGGTATGCTGGAGGCATCTGCCCTGGAAACCAGAGACCCCAAGGCCAGGTCCCACTGTTCCCAGGGGAGCTCTGTCCACTGCAAGGAACTCTTCAATGCCCTTGTCCTCCAAGCCAGACTGCAAGCCCCACGGCCCCTCCCTGGGCTTTGAGCAGCCTTTGGCATGACCTTCCTCCATCTCTGGGTAGTCAACATCCAGACAAGCCTTAGACAGAGGAGCCCAGAATCTGTAACTTGTGTTTGGAAGGCCAGGGAGTTGGTGAACTCCCAGCAGAAACCTCAGACTTCAGTGTCAGCCACCTTCAGATTAGGGCACAGGGTGGGAGTGAAAAACACCTCCCCACTGGAGAAGTGGAATTCAGACCTCAGGGCTCAAGCCATGGAACCACACCCACCCAGATATCACTTAGCAGGTGTGTGGACCTGGATTCACTAGTGGTCTCTGAGCCTCATTTCCCGACCCATAAAATGCATATAACCATAGTAGCGGTTGCAAGAATTTAAAGAATTTGAAGCATTTAGTCAATGCCAGGCATAGAATATGGCACAGCCTCATGCTTGGGACATGGGCTCTGGCAAAAGCCCCATTGATGGCCAGGTTTCTGAATCTCTCTGGGTCTCTGTTTTCTCACCTGAAAAGTGGGGATCATTTTAACATTGTGAGGACTCACATTTAACATTGTGAGGACTAATTAACACAGTGCCCGGCATAAAGTAGGCACTCGATAAATGTACATGACTGTTATCATCATCAAATGTCTTGTCCGCTTTGTGTCTCGCGTAAGCACCTGAGAGCAGATCTTACTGACTCTGACGGTGAGACAGACACTCTCCCTGGCTGCGGTGCCCAGACCTCTGCCTGGCAGGCCTATGCTCACTGCCCCTTCTTCCTTCCGCTCCTCTCCCAGCCTGAGAACTTTCTGCGGCTGAGCCACCGCAGCGGCTTGCCTGCTGCCCTCTAGTGGCCACATCCTGCAGTACAGCCTCTTAGCCCTGCGTTCTTGGCTGGGTTCGGAATTCGGGGCCTCTAGCTGTGGCCTCGTGTGAGGATTCAGCCAGCGGAGGTGATGTTGCAGGGTGCCTTGAGGTGTGGTGATGACACCCCCACCCGAGCTGTGGCCTCTGCTCTGTGCGCCCTCTCTTCTTTACCCACACACCAAGAGGCAAGCAGCAACATGCAGCCTCACCTCATCCAGAGGGCCTGTCCTCCCAGTCTCATTCCTCATCCCAGAGGAAGGAGCACTGAACTTAATATCACAGGCAGGAATGGCCTCTGCTTTCCCTGGCTGGGTGACCTCGGACTCATCCCCTGGCCCCTCTGTGCCTCGATATTTCCACAGATCCAGCTACTCTAAGGGCCTCCGAGCTCTGATCGCTGGGGTTCTCTGGCCCCAGGAAGGCGCCATGCTCCATTTTCAGAGTCAGGACCCCGCCTCACTGCTGGCAGGGGGATGCTCCTTCGGGAGCGGGAAAGCCCCAGTCATCCTCCAAGAAGATAGCTGGGCTAGCAGCTGGGCCCCATCCCCTCGGCCCAGTCCACGGCGGCCCCCGTGGGGCCTAGGAGCCAAGGGGCTCCGCCTTCTGCTGAGTTAGCCTCCCCTCCCCAGCCCCAGCTTCCACTCTATAAAACCCCCTCCAACCCAGAGCTGTGGCTTTGGCCTTTTCTGGGCCACAGGCCCCTTGGAGAGACATGGTCCCTCTTTCCAGAAAGATTCATTTGTATCCACAACTTTATACACAATCAGAAGGCTCCTGGACCCCCTAAAGCCCACCCATGGGCACCCCAGAGGCTTCAACCCCTTTACGAGCAGTATTCTCCCCTGCTCTAGGATTTTCTTTTCAACTGACCATACCCAGGAAGCCTCCACAGATTTGTATACACTGAATGCAGAACCATCGCCCAAGATAAAAAAGCTAGAGCCAGAAAACACATGTGCAAGGGTAGGTTGCTACTTCTTGTTTTTAAAAAGGAGATGCATGTGCGGGGGAGTATTGATATACATGCAAATACAACCACTGATCTGGTAACCCCAGCTGCCCCGGCGGGAGGGGCAAGGAGGGGCAAGGAAGCCGTGGTAGGAGGAAGGCAGCTCACACTGAGCCTCTCAGTCCCATTTGAGTTTATTAACTTTCTGCGAGAGAGCAAAGCCACCCCATCCATGCAAGACCTGGAGGTGGGGCACTGAAATCACACTGGCAACTCACTGTGCCTCCTAATCTGCCCCCCGGGGCACTGCCAGCCTGCTCTCCCCTCCCCCACTTCCAAGGCACCAGGGTCAGAGTCACTACCTTTTGGCCACAATTGGGCTCTGTCTGCTCAGGCAGGCAGCGAAGGGTAGCAATCAGTGGGTGCTGCCGAGAAAGGGCAGGAGATGAAAAAGAGGGAGACCTCCCAGGGGACGTGGGGCTTTGGAGAGGAACGGAAGCCTGAGCTGGGGAAATGACTCCCTTCCCCACTTTTTCTTCCTAGAAACAGCTTGTGGAACTCTGAGGAGATGGGAGGGCAAAGAATAAAGATCGTGAACATGAGATTTCCAACCAGCCTCAGGAGCCAGTACGGAGGGGCCTCGCGGAGCCCCAGGAACTGGAACAAGGGGCAGGGGAAACAGGACAGGGAGGAAGGAGTTGGCAAACAGGCCTCTGGTAGAGACTGCAGAAAGGAAGTGCTTAATCCCTGGGTCTGCGGTAAGCGGTAGCCAAGGCTGACCCACCAGAGATGTTTGTTTAGTTAAAGCGAAAACATATAAAACAGCAAGGCTGTTTTTTTGCTTCCTTAACAAAAAAAAAAAAAGTGAGGTCGTGAAATGAGGCAAGTGAAAAACAAGGGTATGAAAGTCTGAAAGAACTAGAAGCCAGATTAGCGTA